GGGGTTTCCACCGTGAAATGGTGCATTTAAAAATAAAAAAAAAAAATGAATCAGAAACTCACACTTCTTGAAGCCAAGAACATTGTGTTGGCACTGACGCATCAGAAGGGAATTAGGAAAGTCTCTCCTGGGCTGCAGTGCTTCCTGGCTGATCTGCAGGATTCCTGTGTGTTCCCCACTGGGACCTGCCCCAGACACAGGCAGGGTAATTCGACAGTGGAGGATCAGATCACTCGGTCTGTGCCCTAGGAAAGAAAAGTTTGTGTCCTGACAATGTATTTGAGCAGCACAGTCTGGGCAATACATCGAGGCATTAAGCTGTGCAAGAAATGGAATGTCATAATTACTCAGATTTGAGGGGGGAAAAAAAAATCAGCATGGGAAGAGTTACCCCCCCTTTCTCCTCCCCCCAAAGCATGTCATTTCTTAACTGTGCCTCTGAAGTGTTAGTTTGCTTTTGGCATTTTTCCCCTTTATCTAAACCTCTCAAATAAGCCCTAATGACAGCATGAGTTGCATGTTACTTCATGTACTGCCTTGCAAAGCACTGGAATTCCTTAGGTGTCTTAAATTATGGGCTCCTTTATGACAAATGACTTATATTCTGCCTGATATTTACTAATATATTGTGAACAGCACATTTAATGGATAGAGTTCATATCACAATTACATAGGCATTCATTAGTCTATTCACAGTTTAAGCCTCGTGTTTTATTGAAAATGGACTTAACAGTCTAATGAACTCTCACATGGGTCAAATACAATGAGTATATTGGTAGATCTGTATGTCACAATGAGAAAAACTAACTATATAAACCTTTACCAAGGCTTTACTCCCAATTTCAGCTCCTTCATTCACCTGAATGAAAGAATTTTTGATAATAAGTTCTTATTACAATTTCCTTTGATTTTTCTACTTGGATCCTTTTTCTTATTTCATGGAAAAGTCTGTCAGACCTTTTTCCAACATATTTTCATTGGGTTGTGACCAGAATTTATTAGAAATAATACAAAAAAAGAGTTAATCTCAGGGAATTTTTCTTCCTGGGAAAAAGCAAAAAGATCTGAGGAGTTTCAGCTGAACAACAGCTATTATGGGGCCATTTCTCCCCTGGCCTATAATAGGTTTTGTCATTTAAACTTCTGGAAACTGGGAAAGCAGGAATATTTCTCTACTGCAATAGAAATTTATATCTACTTTGCACATGTCTAAATGAGCACAGGAGGGACGCAGTGGTGGGAATCTGGACTGTGGATCTGCACAGTCTGGACCACTAAGCTTTTTCACTGATTCCCAGAGTGAGGAATGATTGCTCTGACATTTTTTCCCTCCTTTCAGTACTGAAATTCTTATGAGAAATCCAAAGCTGCTATTTTTGGCAGGCAGGAACAGTATGATTTTTGGTACCTTACTTAAAAATGTAATAATTTCTTTTTTAAATTACCACAACAGTTTTATGGTCCTCAACACTTCTAAAATGTTTCAAGCATTAAAAAAGAAGCCTATAAACTAATGAAGAGGGCCCTTAGTGCAACATCCTGCTCTCTACAAAAGCAAAGTCACACAGAATATTAAGCCCTAAGAGATCATACACTTAACACTCTCACTGATACAAAGCCAAATTTTGCTCTCATTTGAACTACCCAATATTTAGGCCAGTGGACATGAGAAATACCCCAAACCTGCAGTTTTCATGCTAATGAAAATAAGTCATAATATGTGAGAGATCTTTGCAAGTGTGGGCACTACTTCTTGACCTCTTCTTTTTGGTTTTGTTCCTAATTCAGTAAAGTTGAACATGACTTTAACTGTATGGAGCTGCCAGCTCTAAGAACTTAGGTCAGAAAAAGTGCTATGTTTTGGTTTGTGGTGTTGGGTTTTTTTGTTGTTGTTTGTTTGTTTTCCCGGGTCTATGTATTTATTCCAAATAAACCAATTGGACTTAAGCACATTATTTAAATGGAAGCAATTCCTTGTAACTGTGCTGTGCTGATTTGGGCTAAATGGGAATCTCAGAAACTTGTCAGTTGTGGATATTGACATTTTCTGAGGTATTTGTAGGTGAGCTTTTATTAACAGCTCTGTCCTTCAGTAGAGGTTAATAAATCACCGTTGAATTTGCAGGCACTCTCAGAATAGATAGGAAGCCAATTGGGCTCTGAAAGATTACTCCTCTATTTGTTTAGCCACTGGCTCTTTGGTTGTAACCGATAGGTTTAAGAGCTGGGAACGCTGCATTTCCCTCTATGCTTTAGTTGACTTGTTAGAGATTGTTGTTTGTGTTTGATAAACGAGAGGATGATGAGGCACTGGCTAAATGCGAGGGTGTTTTTTTTTTTTAATCTGAAAAGGTTAGAGACGGGAATTCCTCAAGTAGGCAAAGCCACTGGCTTCTGGCAATGAGTAACTGTTTTGTCTTGGATGCAACCTGAGCTCATTAGTGCTCTCTCTTCCCTTCACACATTCACACACACCCTCTTGGGTCAGCTCCAGACCCGCGTGATGGCTTAGGGGGAGCCAAACTGCTGCTTCTCTTCACTTGGCTTAGAAGTCTCACAGTGTGTAAAATGCACGTGTGTATCAGTGAGCCCCCAGCTGCCTGAGAGCACACCCGATTGCACTGGAAAATGTGCAAAATTGCAAATGGAAAATGTGCTAAATGTGCAAAAAGTGGAAAACGTGGGGAAAAGGGGGGGAGCCTCTCTGAGGGCTGCAGTTTAGACAAGTGTCAAAATGGACCAGGTAAATTTAGGGGCCATATTTGTGTTCATGTGGGGGTAAACACAGGAGCAATTACATGCAGTTTGTTGCAGCACTAAACAGAGAATAAGGATTGGACATTAGGAGCTGTGTGCACTTGGCTCCTACGTCCTGACTGCCTGCCTGGAGGCTCATGTGTGGATACCCAACAAAATAAATTGTATGGACAAATTATTACAAGGAGTAAATACCCCTGATTTTCTGAAAGTCTGTAGCTAAGTGCACATGTCAGGAAACATTTCAGTTTTGAAATTCCATTGCAAATTCTGAGATTTGGACATTGCAGTATTGTGAGTGGTTTGAATTTCCAAGCTGTCTTCAGGTTGGCTTTTCTGCCTTACACAAAGGTTATTTTTGATAGGTGCATAATCTAAAAAACCTGATTTGAATGTAGTGATTAGAAGTGGGTCGAAGAGGCAGGGATGTGAATTGTACCATGGGAGTGTTTGGAGCTTGCACATTAGCTGGTAGCTCCCAAAAGGCCCTTTGAATAAACAGACAGTAACTGCAAAAAGATTGATGGTTTAGCAATCGAAGTGGCCAGTGATCAGAAGTTGCCCCCTTGTTGGTGGAAAGGAATGGGTTGAGTGACACTGGGCTGCCTGAATTGTAGATTATCTCAATGAAGAGTAAACACGTAGTGTGAAAAATGAAATAAACCAGCTTTTTTTCCCCTTAGGCTTATAAAGAAAGGATTATTTCCCTGGTGAAAGCAGATGTTTAATTACCCAAGACCAGAAGCACAATAACACATGGCTGGTCTACCTGTTATGTTACAGCTGCGTGTGCTGCATGCTAAACCTGCTGTGTTACAGCTGCAAACGGCGTCTGTTCACAAGGTAACAGGAACGGTGTCATATTGCCTAAAAAATCAGACCTGCATGGTACAGTGGGGGAACAGGGAAGCAAATGTGATCCTTGCCATTATTATGAATACCTGCATAGAAAGAGTGGGAGTAAGCCCAGTACAACCTCCCACGGGATTGTAGGACTCTGCAGCAGCGCTGACAAAATCACAAGGTGTGTTGGAGCAGTGGAAGGAGAAGGCACTTCTTTAAGACAAGCAGCATGGTCAGAACTTAGAAAATCATGCATTGGTTAAAATTTGTACGAGTGGTCTGTTGTTTGGTTAGTCTGAGAGCTGAGCTGCAACCCCTCCTGTTAGTGTTTCAATGGGCAATGAGAAATAGAGCCAGCATGGCACTTACCAAGTCAGGACTTCCAGGATGAATATATTCCACCTTTATTTCTTCTCAGGGCAGGGAAGGGGGGAGGAATCACCTCACTCTTGGTGCAGCTGGCAGTGATGTTACAAGAAGCAGAGGGACATCTTGGCACCCTGTGTGACTCTTGCAGGGACCAAGTCAGTAAAGATTAACACCTGTTTCCAGCAACCACATGCTTATCCTTCCACAAAACTAACTTTAATTTTTTTCCTCTCTCTTTTTGTTTTGTTTCTAGCAGCACACAGTTTTGTTGACAGCAGAGAATTGTGGTGCCCCATGTGCCCTGCTAAGTCTCTCAAATGAGCAAGCAGACATACTTACCTTTGGAAACTCTTCCAAGGTGAAAGACCTAGGACACTTGGGATGTCATCATGAGACGTGGTTTGTGAGACTGGAAATCTGAACTTCAGGTCCAACATGCACAGAACTTCCCCAAGCCTCCAATTTAGGACAAAAAAATACCTTTGAATGTGTTTGATGAATAAGCTGGCTATTTTTATTTGAAAATTGTGTCCACCTTGCTGGGTCTGAAGCCCTGGGAGAGCCCCAGGAGAAAGGCAGTAGAAAAAGGAAAAAAACAACAAAAAAACCACAAGGCCTTGTGAAAGTCACAAATGAGGGAAAATATGTAATATTCACTTATTTCTGTTTGTAGAGCTTATTTCTATTAATGTGCAGTCCCAACAATAGCTGGTTGCCACGATACAGGGTGGTTGCCAGAGAAGGTGCAGAGTAAGGAGGTGAATAGGATTCAGAGTGCTCCAGGGAAGCACTCCATAAGCAATCCATAAGATTTTTATGGTTTTTCAACATCTGACCTCCTAAAAATCTTTCTCTTTGCATTGTTTTTGAAGGATGGAATTGAAACTCCCTGTGGAAATGAGATGTCATTGGCAATTGTTTTGGCACTCAGCTCGATAACCGCCCTTCCAGCTCCCCTGGGACCAATAGTGATAATTAATATTGTGATGAATACAAGTAGCACCAAGCATTGCCCTGTCATACTTTAATGACAGACACGTTGTTTCTGAAACAACAGGATGCTTTGGCTGGCATCCTACTAGACTCATTCCTATGGTTTTCAGTCCTCAGGTGGCATTAATGGCAAGGAAGGCAGCTCCTTCTGGCTTACCCTTAAAATGTGCCATTTCTCTTCAGGTGAGTATCTGAAAACAAGCTTGGAAAACTCATCAAAGCTACCCTGTACCCTGATAACTACCTGGATATGGGAATGAAGACAGTGTCTAAGAGGGAAGTTTCAGAAATAATGGAGGTTGACACCTCACTTCCTCAGTGTCTTTCTGCTCCCTCCCAAGGTCAGTGCTAGTGCCAGCTCAGCACCTTGACCGTACTCTTTAAGCTCCAGAGAAAGCTCATCATGTCAGAGATCACTCACATCTTTCCTACCCTTCCATGAGGCAGTTTTATTGTGATATGACACAATTCACTGGACTGCCAGGGAGCCCTTCTGAGACCCAAAGCCTCCAAATGCAGAGTAGTGACAAAGAAAGCATTGCAGCAGTCCTATCTCACAATAAATGAGATTACAAGCATGGAGATAACAGGAACCTCACAGCAGACCTTTCCTTTCAGCTTCTCCCTGGCGAACACAACTTGCAGATGGCTCAGTTTCCTGCTGGCTCGGTGCAAATTTTTCAGTGTGGGGACTTCTGTCTGGTGTTGCTTTGCAGCACGAAGCTAGCAGGGGTTAATGGCTCAGGAGGGACAGAAACTCTGCCAGGTTAAACTTTTGATGCGTGATCCCACCATGTACCAGTGAAAATAGTTCTGCTGATTTCTTCTCCTCTTCCCCAGTGATGATGATAGTTGGGCCCTGTCAAATAAGCACAGAGAAACCCCAAATGCTCCAGCCCTGTGGGTACAGAAAGAACAAATATTTCTGTTATCAGTGGAGCAGGGGAAGGGTAGTGCAAGGATATCTTGCTGACAAACTCAACTCATTGTGCAATTAACTGGCATAGCCTGACACCTTGTATTCATTTGCATACGTTTAAATGAATTAGACAAGTCCTAATGCCAAAGCTGTCACCCAAACATTTGTATTTATACAAATACAACCACCTTTGCTAAAAAGGTCATAACTTTCAGCATGGACTTTGTCTCTCTTTCACTTGATTACACCTATCTCCTCATATAGAGAGTTTTAAATTATTTATATAGGATGCCTCGATCCTTATAATATTTCTAAGTGAAGTATAAAATCGAGCATTGTCTCACATATTTTAAAACACACAAGCTCCATTACTGTTTTATAATTGCTAATTAACAGATAAATGTTTCGTACTCCCACATTTTTTATCCTCCAGATACAGCAAAGCAAACAGATTAACAGAGGAAACCTGAGGACTGCAATATCTGTTTTATGATAAGAGCATTTAGTAACTTAATCCCTACTACGCTCAGCTCTCAAAGACAATGTACTAGTGGTTATGTGATACAGAATAATGAACTGATACAGAGGTACATTTGTGTTGTTCTCTGGTTAGAGTGGGAGCTGAGACTTGGATTGTTGTTTTTTTTTTTTTTTTCCTGGGCTTGGAACTAGTTTAAATGACTTGTCTAAGGCTGTAGGATAATTTCAACCATTTTATAAGTATTGTGCTATAAAATGGAGAAAATTCATAAACCCCTCTCAGATGTGCACCCTTGTGTATCGCTGCATGGGGGCGTCATCATTATTAGACTAACATAATAATCTAATGCCAATGTCTAGTATAAAAAGTAATGATAATTAGCAGTAACACAGGATGGCAAATAATCATCTTCAGGTGACAAATGCAGGAAACCTAAGAAGTACCGAGAGCAGACTGGGACTTCTTCAGTTGCTTCTTTGAACTAATTACCTAATAAACCCAGGATGTGATTGTGTGATACTGAGTCATAGATTCAACGTGAGACGCTGTGCTATATTAGAAGATGAAGTAAAAAGGTATTTTGAGTCTCTCTGGCCAGAAGTAAAACTCTTATCTAAAAACCCCACATACATTATGGTTTCAGATATCTGCATTTTTCTAGCCTAATTCTTGATTATTGCAGAGGAGGTATTTGTTTAGCATGGGACTCTTCCCAAAGCACCACCACTTAAATTCTCCAGCTTGCAGCAACGCACTTTCTATTTTGGCAAGATGAATCTTCTGGTATCTGCATACCTCTCCTGTTCCTTCCTTCCTGTAATTAGGGGTAAATCTGCTCCAGGACCTGTTCCTTTGTAGAAGCACCATTTTTAGAGCAATACATCATTGGCAAGTCATGACACTAACAGATCCTTGGAGAGTGCTGCCTCTCTAAAGAGATATAGTATCACCTTGATCACTGCTAGACACCACTCAGTAAAGAGCTCCATCAGTTGGTGAGGAAGCAGGAATAAACTCATTTTAGCTATAAAGATGCAGGTGGAATCTACTTATCAGTGAAATAGCCTCAACAACTTATGTCCATTTTACTTCTTCCTATTTGCCCTCAATGCTCCCAGTAACCCTACTTTGATTTTAGGGATTCAAGCTGAGCTAGGTGGATGACTAATGTTGGGGTTTTTTCCCCCTGGAAGTATTTATTTGCACACTTCCAATTTTGCACTTCCTGTGCCTTTGCTTTCCATGGACATTGGGCCAATATTTTTGTATTGACACAAGGGTTTGCAGAATGCAAACATCAGAAGGAGTTGGGTCTGTGCCTCCTTTCATGGGACAGAGGAATCACTTGTGTTTACATGTCAAGGCTCTTTTTCTCAGTATAAGCGCTCGCCCATAAAGAGATTTGTGAATTGGTTCCACAGACCAGTCTGGTCCCCAGATCTTGTCTTTCTTTCTTTAAGATGAAGATCAGCTGATCAAGGTGCTGAAAATAAACCACATGACAAAATTGACCCATTCATCAGCACGGTGTAGAATATTACCCAACAACCAGAAGGCATTAAAAATATTCAAAATAGAACTGAAGACACTAACATAAATAAATGTGAAAAGAGGCACAGGTATGTTAGTGTATGTTAGAGTATTTTTGGGGTGCTTTTCTGTGTCGTTGTGGGGGTGATTTAGAATAACTAAATGAACATTCTCAAAGGTGGTTGCTTAAGGAGCAAAACCCCAGCAACAAAATTAAATGTCCAAAGCTGGAGACTTTGAATGCTGCCAACCTCTTGGCAAACTTGACCTTATCTTTAGTTACCCAGAACCCTCTTGAAGATGCAGATGCTGGAAAATGAAACCACTTTCCCTGTCACGATGATATTTCCCCTTCTTACTAATACCCGGAAGGAAACCTGATGGATTAACACACTGGTTGTACTGTCAGGATGATTCACAGGATGATGTCCCCCTGGCCCTGCCATGTGCCTTGCTGCTCCATCAGCTGCATTGCCTTGCTGCCTGTCCATCCATCCATCCACCCACCCACTGCAGCAGTGTGAGCTGAGCCAGCCCTGTGTGTTGTATTGTTCTCAGCTGAGCTCAGAGCACGTTCGGAAGCAACACCCAGAGCTGGGATTTCCTCCGTGTCAGCACACAGAGGGGCTCTCCGCTGACTCATGGACTGGTCCCAAAAATAGCAGGTTCAGAATAGAAACCTTCGAGCCCTTTCTGTCCTGGAGAACAATGCCTCACACTTTTTTTCTCTCTGAGTATGAAATAAATCCCCTTTTTGCTTCCAACTTGGCAGTGTTAAGCTGGAGGGGCTTGGTCCAGTGCTCAGAGCACCTGACTGTGCTCTTGAGGAGAGGAGTCAGTCAGCGGGACTCGTGTTCTCTCATTCTCAGCAGGGATGTTATTTAGTTCATTCTGATCAGGGCTTTCTGATTTTTCTGGGAGGACATGGGAACTTAAAACAGAAAGAGATTCAAGCAAAGACTTCTCTTCACAGCCTGTTTTTTTATCTTTTTGCAGGGCAGTTTTAAGGACCCAGACAGGACCAACAATGAATACAAGAAGGAAAAAGAATATTCATGAAGCGTAAGATCCCTCACACAACTGAAGTGCCCATGGGTTTTTGGAGTGTTTGATTACTTTCTGTTGTTATTTATAAAATGCCTAAACATCTGTCAAGCCCATCTGAGAAAGAGCAAGACCCTTCTATGTATAACTGTGTTGTCAGTGCTTTACAAATCCAGTAGCCAAATCTCTGTGGGTTGGCAGCTGCTGGTGTTCCCTGTACCAACCCAATTCCTGTTGGGCTGCAAGGGAGTCCTCAGGGAACAACATCGGCAGTGGGACCCCAACCTGTCAGCCCTTCTGTTCCTGGCACCATCACTCGTGCAGCCTGGCTCCTCTACAAGCTGGCAGCATTCTGATTTTGGGAACTGATCTGCTGGATTTTAGCCACTTGCTGTCTGTAAGGGCCTTATCCAAACTGCATCTCTTCAGCTGAAGACAAGGCTGGGTTGCTGGGCTAAGCCATGCACTCTCTCAGCGTTGGGTGGGCAGTCTAACAATATCAGAGATGATTTTCACAGCTTCAGATAATTTTCAGAGCTTCATTTTTTCAGCTATTCTGAAAATACTGGTTTTGTAATCCCATGTGAGAATGCTTTCAGGGAGCCAGGTTGTTTCCTCAAGGGAAATGGTGTCTGTCACACAGAGAACTGAGAAACAGAGTAAACCATGCCCCAATAAAAAGTAGTCACAGACATTGGAGAAAAACATATTAATATATCACTCCCTGAAAAGTAGGAGAGGTGAGATTGAACTGGCTGCTTTTTAGAGAGAAAAATCCAAAATCTTCTCTAAAGTATGTGCTGAACTTTTGAAAGTCTTCCACTTCCCCCTCCTCCTTTCCCATCTCTACAATAAGTACAATTTTTAGACAAGGCAGGTCTTTGTGCTCCAAATTTAATACCTAGTTTTTGACCCATAGAGTGATAAGCTGGAAAATAATTGGCTGGATTTTCCCCAGTGTTGAAGAACGCCTTTCAAATTGACTTGGGAACTTGCCTATTCTCGTCTGCCCACCTGGCTTTCACTTTGATATCCCTAACATTATCATAACTTTTATTGTGTTTTCATGTCAGTTAAGCCTTCTTCACTAAATTACTTTCATTTCTACATCCTCTCCTGCTATTTGGTCTCATCATCATCTAAGATTTAAGGTGAAAAAGTTTCTTCTATTTGACAGGGTGGGAGGTGGAAATTACTGTGTGAGCAGTAAACTACAGGTTACATAAATAATATGTCATTGTATATCACCCAGTGGAGCCTTAAACCAATTAATTAGTTTGTATAAAGCTTTTGTCTGCTTTTTAACTGCATCCTATCCAAGTTGATTGCACATTTGCTCTAAGTTGGTTGTTTTGTTTTCTTTCTTTGTGTCGTCAGCTTTCAGGATTCTTATATAGTTATGCTGTGTGTGTTTCTAGAGATTGATTTTCTTTCTTTAGAGGCTTAGTTTATGTTTTTTCCTCCCCTTCTTGACACATCCCTAGCCTGAGGCAAAAGTGTACATTTAGTTCAAGAAAGGTAGGCACAGGGATATTCTTCCCTGTACATGGAGTGAAAGGCAAGCTGAGATATGCTGGATTAATGGAGAAGGTACTGAAAAGCAGCTGGTTGATTCAGAGTGAGCCATTCACTTGCTTTCATGCTGGTTAATAGCAAGAAAAAAATAATCTATAGACTGAATTGTACTGTACAGATAATTTATCCTAATGCCAAGAAGCCTACCACCCTTTTCACAGGCAAAGTTTTCTTTTACAGGAGTGCCAGGAAAGATTGCTTTTTGGTTGAAATTGAGGAGATTATGGTAACCCAGGTGAACCTTGTGTTGGAAGAGAACAGAGTTGGTGGAATAATATATTTTTTTGCAGTCTTTAGTGAAAAACTTAAGAAGTTACTAGTGTGGGGAAACAAGGAAGAGAAAGACATTTTATTACATTGTCAGTAACTGCCCATGCTGAAATACTGGTCTAGCCTGACTGCAAAGCAAAAACAGACATTGCTTTGATATGATGATCGATTTTATTATTCCAGCTGAGATTTTTCTCTTTCATTTTTCTGCAGATCTCCTCTGCTCAGTGAATCAGGAACTGTACAAAAGTCCTTTACAATGCAGACTTGATGTACAATAATATTAAGCAAGAAAATATTCAAACAGCCATGAAACAGTCATCAAAAGTGCTGCTCCTTGTTTCAATCCCTGCAAGAAATCAAAACCTTTCAAGCAGAGCCAGATTTTAACGAATGGTGGCTGTTTAAAGCAGAGTTGCCAAAAGCCTTGGCTGTGCCTGGACTTTTATTTTAAGTATTTGTACCATTAAATATTAATATAGGTCAAATAACTGATCCCCCTGAGCAGATGAAATCTGCACAATGAAAACAAACACACTGTAAAACATGAGCCAATGTTACCCACAATGTTGCTGCATAAATATGCAAATACAGACCCCGATTTCCCTGAACAAGTTTTCTTATTGACGTTATGGGAGAATGAGAAGGAAAACATAAAAATTAAATAATAGTCACAGCACTGAAACTTTTAAGAGCTGATCCAAGGCTCATTGACTCAAGGGAGCTTTGCCTCTAGTACCTTTAAGAGCTGCAGTGCTGCAGAACCTGAAACACACTCAGGGAAATCACAACGTGGTGCCACACAGACAAGGCAATGTCACATTTGACAGTAGATGTGTCTGTAGGGACACACTGCAGTAGGAATTAAAAAGAAAAACGTGGAGTGGATCTGTTTGTTTTTTACTGGCATCTCCTGCATAATTTCACTACAGGCTCCCAGTTTTTGCTGGTGATGATGGGAAGTGTGGGAGATCCTACAAGAATGTGTGAGATGTCTTAGGTCAGGGACCTTGGTGAGGTCCAGGCAAGATGTACTCTTTGTCCAGCTCACTGTCAACGTTTTAAGGAGTATTGATGAAAAGCATGCACTAAAATTGAAAAGGAGGAGAACTACATAGCAAGGATGGAAACTGAGAGTTCATTGAATTGATCAGTTTGTATACAGCCTCAAATGCTATTGTGGAGGGCAGCCATGGGAAGCCTTTGCCCTTGATCCTTTGATCTCCGTTTGTCCCGATCTTCACAGCTGGCAGAAGCTGCAGTTGGGTTTGTGTGTGCTGTGTGCTTGAGGCCTGGCTGCTCTGTGAGGTGTGAGCACTTGGAAGTGCTTTGAGTTTGAACTGGATACAATAGAAACCTAAAGAAGCTGTAAAAATACCCTGGGCCAACTTCTGATCCCTGTTATTTCTCAGCAAATTAGGAATAGCTGTTAAAATTATGGCACTGGCATTGCAAAGTTGTACATTAAAAATAATGAGTGAAGTTACAAGAGCACTTAAAATAATAGTCTAAATTATGCTTGGTAATAATTTTTGCTTAAGTCAATGTTTTAAGGTTTTCTTCAAAAGAATAGAAGGTGTGAATCCTGTCTAATCCTGTGCTTCCAGCAGCTGAAGAGTTAAGAATAATCCTGATACTGTGAAACTTAGAAACCTTCACTCCAGGAAATATGGATTCCTGTAGCCAGAGTACTCTGACAATCCCCACAACAGTGGATGTAAAAGTCCAATTTCAAATTTTAAAAATGAACAGTTACATGACCTAAGCTGCATTTTACCATCTTTTACTCCCATCATGTTTGGGAGCAAATGATACAGGAGGACATATATTTACTTCAAAGAGGTAGATACTAGATTTTCAGCTTCCCACAATACAGTTTTGAATTGCTCCCACCCACTAAATAAAATCAAATCCATAGAAATATTTCCTTCAGAAAGAGAAGTCTAGGTTTCTCCAAATAGTTAAAATATTAAGTAGAAATATTTCAAATACTAGGTAAAAACATTTGCCTTAAAAAGCAATTATTTTATTTTGAAAATAAGTTCTAAAAAAATCTAAATATTCAAGGAGACTCCATATGATACAAAATTTCCATTTAATTTAATTTTTTATATAATCTTTCCACCCTGTCGAAAACTGCATTTGTGGAAATTTTCTCATTTCTTGCATTTTGAGTAAAAAATTCAATCAGGTTTTATAACGATGTGCATCATTCTGGAGGCTGTTTCTCAAAATGTAACCCAAACAGTCCAAAATATTCACATTAGTGTGCTGATGTGAATGAGACAAAGCAAGCCTGGCTTCAACCCAAGTGCTCAGCCCTTCCAAAGCACACTGATTGGAGTCATAACCATCCGGCTAAATGGAAGCTGGTAATTAAAAATATGCAAAATGGCTTGGAAATAATGTGGATCTCTCTGAATGTGGATTTTGAATATGGGTGTCTCTCACACGGGTAAAGTGGATAATTGCCTGCCTATCCTGCTTCCATTCATTGCAAATAATTGAGTTGTTGTCAAACACTTCTAACACTGCCTATCACAATAAATATAAGAAGACAGAGGGGCTCTTTGAATAATCTCATTTTTGCGGCTGAGGAAGCTGTTTCTTTTGTACTTGCCTGGGGAATGGCATAGCAACAGGAAATGAGAGCAGCAGAAAGAATGGAGAAAGCACTGCAGACTTTGCTTTATTTCTTTATTTCATATCTCTACCTTGCATCTAAGACTCCAGTCCCACACCTGTGTTTCTCCAGGGACTTCTTTTGTGCAAAAGCCCATGGCTTATGCATAATTTAGGAGCGGTAGGATGAGCCTGGTGCATGGGGACAGTAGGGTGGGGACCAGGGACGCCAGACATACATGTGGAGCTTTGCGTAGGTCCCCAGCTGAGGTGCCTGAAAGTCATGAGGTGCTTGCCAGAGAAGTGGGGCATCTTTGGGTAATGATTGAACAAACACCTACACAGCACTGTCAGGCAGCAAAAATGTCACCAGTGTGACTGAAAGCCCATCAGGGTGCACAGAAAATCTGCTTGCACATGACTAACCACCCTGACTGTGTGGAGGGGGTGTTGCTATCTCCAGGCATGCTCATGTGCTGCTCTGGGCTTTGCTCTGGTCCTTGGGTGCTGCAGAAGGACTCAGGTGACACTTTTCATTGCTGTGGCTGCCTTCTCTTACAGACCAGCATGGCTCTGCTTCTCAACAGCCTGTCCCGAAACACCTCCCTCTGCACATCCTTCCACCACAGTGCTACTTCAGCAGCATTTCCTAAGCCCCATTTCCCACACTGTCACAGCTCTCCATATGCTACTGCAATTCCCTTTTCCCCCATCTTTTAATCTTTTCCTTCCTACAACAGGAGTATTCCCTGTTGATTTCAAAAACCCCTTGCTCTTTCCATCATGATGCTGTTTTTGGGGTGGGGGGTGGGGGGGTTATCGTGTTTTCCACTCTTGGACTTCTGCACAGAGGGTGTGGATTGGGTGGCTGGAGCACTGAAAATGTGACAGTGACACTCACAGAGATTTGAATAAGACAGGTGGATTTTTTCACGTCTGTTTGAATCTCACTGCGGGATGTGGGTGCACAACCCCATGTCTCAAAACACCTTCCTGTCTGCTCCCCAAAGAAACACTGAACGCTCCCCTTGGCTCTTTCTGACCTCACATTTGAATTTCAGTTTTGCTCTGAGCTGTCTCCTCTCCAGCCTCTCTCAGTCTCTTTCGTACAGTTTCTTAAATCATAGTGCAGGCTGAGCCAGAGGAACAACCACAGAAAGAATCACTCTCACATCTCTGTCCTCAACATTTTCCCGAGGATCAGGATCCTGCCTGGAGTATTTCTGGACACATGGTGATGAGTTTCTCAAAAATTCCCTGTCACTTTTAGGGCTCTGACATTTCTGCTCCCACCTTTAATGTAAAGCAGAGCTTAACCCAGAGATGCTGCAGCAGAAAATTTTGCACTTTGCAACCAGAGCAAACCTTTGATACCTGGAGGCTGATTCAGCTGTCCCCTTCAAAGGGCTTTCACCGTCAGACAAGTTTTTGCCACAGTAATAATGCAGCAGTCTGAGGGCCCAGAGATGGTTTTGTCTGTGCAGCATCACTTTTGTAGAGAATAAGATGCACTTGGGACCTGTTATGGTCACTAGCAATTAGGCAGAGTGCAGCATCTCCAAAATGCCATTGTCCATGCAAATTAATGAATCCTGTGCCCCTGAGACGTGGATTGTCAGCAATGGCAGTGCTGGAGGCGGCTGACCTAGCTGTGTGTTGGCAGTCTGGGGCTGCTGGGGAGAGGAAGGGGTGCTGGGGAGAGGTTGCCTTTTGCCTGGGCAGTTCCATTCCTGGAGGCCGAGTGACTTCCAGAGGCCACACATCAAGTGCTGGGCACTGCCATCCCTGGAGCTCAACCAATGCCTGGCTGAAGGCAACAGGCCACAATATCCCTTTCCATACTGTAATTGTTGGTGTGTTTTAATAAATTCCTCCAGGGACACGTGCCATATAAAATGTGTAAGTCAAGCAAACCGGAAAGCAGATCAGCTTTGCACTGTCATTTATATTGGAAGAGTAGGCATATTAAATCCCCTTTTCCACAAATCCCTTTCAATAAATCAGTTTTGGAGCAATGCAGCTGTTTGTCAGGTGCTTTACTGGTGCTGTGCTCTCAATGACTCTCTGTGCTAAGGGATGCTCTTGAAAGTTATGCTAACATAGACCAGGCAGTTTTGGAAAAGAGAGGAGTGTGTCCAAATAGCTGGAGTGAATGAGTTCATTCTATATATCAGGGAAATGCACAGCAGGCAAAGAGTGGCCAAAATTACAGGCCAGGTACTTTCAGAATGTTCTTGGCTGGCTCCACAAGCAGGTGTAAATCTGCTGGATGCATTAGAAGCCAGGGCAATTCAGATGCAAAGCGAGAGCCTTTGAGTAGTCCTAGAAGAGACAGCCTGGAATAGAGGAAAGCCTGGCTCCTGCTCATTAAAATAGCTGTGCCTGGGAGCTTGTTGGCTACACCTGCTCTGTAGGAGTACTGGCAGTGCTTCCTGCAGGGCACCGGTTGGGCACTGTCTTCTGAAGGCAGATATAATGCTCAGAGGCACACCCCAAATATGCACAAGGTATCCTGGCCATTGGCAGTAATTAATTTCATGGAATAAAAGGACTATGAGGAAAGCATAAAATGGAGGTGATGAGAAAATTGGGTAGCTGATTGTTGTCAAAATATCTTTCACCAGCTCTGTTCTAACAAATAACCCATCGTGGCTGCTGAGCTGGAAGACCCCATCCCTTTCCACTGTCTTCACTCACCTTAGTTTTGCAGGACTTATCTTCTCACATGGGAGAGCAGAGTCCCAGGATTTTATCTTGGCTACAAATGATGTGGGAACATTACTAGCCCCTGTTAATACTCTTCAGGGCAAAATGCTTTTGTTCCTGATTCATTTCCACTGCCCTCCAACTTGGCTTAAAAGTGTTCAAGCAAGGGGAAGGAGGAGCCAAAGCACCCTGGATAAATCTTGTGGGATACTGGTAAAATTTAGTTTTCTTTACTAATTTTTGAACCTTAAAGATCTGCATTGCATTCAGTCATGTAACTACACAAATTAAAAACTCGACTTGGCAAAAGTCGACCCCAGAGTCCTTTGCTGGCACCTTTCCTGGAATGCCAGCTGTTCCAGCGAAGCAGAGGCCAGGCTCTGCTGATTTCCCTAACCTTGCAGATACCTGCTCCAGATTTTTTTTTGTTTTGTTTAGTTTTTGGTTTTTAAGAAATAATTTAACATACAGGTGGTTTTGGGGTTGAAAGCCACTGGTTTTTTTGTAGATTGCCAAGACTCATATGACATCAGGTTCAGATCCAACTGCTTTCATCAGGGAATTGAATTCCAGTTTTAGCAAAGGATGCAGTTTGAAGTCCATCTCTGAATTCAGTGGCAGGTATTTTGGGACAGGAATAAACCCAAGAACCATTTTCTTCTGAACTGCAGTTCAAATGAACTAAGTTATGTGTCACGAATGGTGATTAGCGCAACTGATTTTATTGTGACAAAAAACCCTAAAAAACAGCGATGGGAAGTGCCAACATCAAAGCCTGTGAACATTTTCTATGTTTGCATGTTGGAAGTTATATATATATTTCTAAATGTTAGACATTTAAAGGTTTTGCAGATTCCTGATGTAGAGCAGAACACAGTGAATTGCTTTGGATTCATGGGGCCACACTCCCACATAATGCCACTATACATTAATTGGCTGCATAAGCAATACCTCTGCCTGAAAGTTGTATTTTTGCTTCCCTGTAATGCACTTAGAATTACTGGGACATGTTGAGTGATTTCCTTTACTGAAAGCTTCTATCACGTAACATATATGCAAGAAAATCAGCCCTAAGTGAGAGAGAGGTTAATGGGGGAGCATGAGAGATAACAGTGATAAATTGAGAGAGGGAAGGTTCCAACTAACAAAAGAGTT